AGGACAGTTTCCCAGGGTGCATGGCTCTGTAAGGAGTTTGTGACTATAATAACAAAAAGAAAACAATTGATTATTTACATATTGATAATATTATTAATAATAATAATAATAATAAAAATACATGAGATTTGTAAGGTGCTGAATCCACTCAAAAACAAATTCTCAAGGAGGTAAGATGTCAACAATCTGAATGATACATCCAATGGAAAGGGGAAATTACCTTCGGAATGAAGTGAGAAATTATGAAAAAGATCAGCAATTTTTGCTGTCTTTTGTTTCCATTCTTAAATTAAAAACTATGTACTTAACGACAGGGTATGTACATGTAAGACTAAGAGTCTCTAATGGGCCCATCCCCTCCCCCCCCCCCCCCCCCCGGCAAAAAACAGGTAAATAAAAAAGATTTTGACATTAATTTTACCTTTTTAAACAAAAAAATGAAAATGCCCTCCCCCCCCCTCCCTCTTGACAAAACAAAGTAAATTTATTTAATGAGCACAATTTTTTATCTTTTTGCTCAAGGGGGGGGGGGGGGGGGGGGGGGGCTCAAAAAGGTAAAATTAATGTTACCATCTTTTTTTGTTTACGGTACTTTACTGCCCGTTAGAGATTGCACCTCTTTGGAACTTTTCAAGCAGAAGGTGCAACACATTAAGCTCCGTTGAGCTTCAGACTGTTTTTAGCTGCACATAGAATTCTTGTACTTGTATAGACCGAAAGCTTCAGTCTCTATAATCGTCGGTTGTTCCACTGAGACTACGTTTGGCTCCACTAGACCTCCGGTTATAGAGACTGAACGATCGCCTATACCATCGTATGTTGAAGATATCACGGCTAGATTTTAGCCGCTAGGCCCCTCCCACAAACATGACAAACTTGCCAAGGCCGTATTGTTATGCCCCCAAAATCCCCCAAAATGTCATTTTACCTCGTCCATATCCAATTTTAAATTAGGCCTAGGCTATAATACATCGGTTCCACTTACTAACTTGATTGAAATAATCCGTTTAATGGTCCCTTTTAAGGAAATTATGGGTCAAAATCGACATCCATGTTGAAAATCTTGCAAGCCGTGTTAAACTCTCACTGCCGTCAATCTCATCCCTTCTAGTCTACGCTGAAGGCAAAATGATTATGAAGGAAAAACTGTGATAACGCCATTACGAACGTGTAGATGGCGCACAGTTTTTTCCTTCATAATCATTTTGCCTTCAGCGTAGACTAGAAGGGATGAACCGATGTATTATAGCCTAGGCCTAATTTAAAATTGGATATGGACGAGGTAAAATGACATTTTGGGGGATTTTGGGGCATAACAATACGGCCGTGGCAAGTTTGTCATGTTTGTGGGAGGGGCCTAGCGGCTAAAATCTAGCCGTGATATCTTCAACATACGATGGTATAGGCGATCGTTCAGTCTCTATAACCGGAGGTCTAGTGGAGCCAGACGTAGTCTCAGTGGAACAACCGACGATTATAGAGACTGAAGCTTTCGGTCTAGTACTTGTAGAGCCCTTTTACTAGCGTGTCTGATCGCGCACCAGGTTTTATGTGCTAAAACCCTTCCCATAGACATGGCACACATCCCTATGCAGTCTATGTGCATTGCAAAATCGGTCAACGTTTTTAAAAATAAATTTAGATTCAAACCTTTATCTGTAGTGATCCTGAAGACACAATGGTGATGACCTCTGACTGGCACTTCCGTGATTGTGCTGCTTCCGTATAATGCGCTATATGAGTGTTATTCAGCACATTATACGGAAGCAGCACATTTACGAAGCGCCAGTCAGAGGTCATCACCATTGTGTAGAGATCGTGAATTCACACGGTACACGTGAAAAGGGAGCTGAGCTGTATCGGTCTGTTAAGAAAATTGGTATTATTTCCTTATTTTTACCTCCGATTTTTATATTCAGTAGGTAGTTAGAAGAAATATCATAAAATTCATCAAAGCCACTGTCCAATATTGGTCGGGTGCGGGAAAGTGTGATTTTGGACCCATTTGAGATGCTGTTTACCTACCTCTCCGTGGGACCCTATGGGAGCAAATTAAAGCTCCCTCGAATAATATCATAAAAAACATTTCGAGGGAGCCCTTAGGCTAGCATGAACCACTTTTTCGTCCATTCTGACCAAAATGCTATGAATATTGTAGAGTTTTTGAGGGGCTGTATTTTTGATAGAAACATCGGTGAGTCTTGAAATTTGAAATGTATTATTCTGATTACATTTTTTATTAAAATATCCAATAACAATGGTGAAAAACGAGCCCAAATTGAAAAATCGTTCAGTGGATCTACTTTTACTTGCACTGCTGTACACTAGTCACTAGGCACTTGACAAGCACAAGGTACGATAATAGGACAACGGCGGTCCGTACTATACTGAAAGAAGAAGAAGAAGAAGAGATAGCAATCACACAAATCACATTCACACTCACCATACTTACTAAAACTAGATCTAGAGTCTAGATCTACTCACAGTCACACTGTCACAGAAATTAGACCTAGAGTCTAGATCTAGTCTAGACTCTACTCCGACGATTAATTTTCATTTGCACCCACGGCCACGTCCGACATACCCATTTGTAGTCTACAAAATTGCTTTGCATTCAACACCTAATTGATCTAAATAAATGTGGAATCTATTTAGAATATATGAAACTATGAATTTTTGTTCTTAATGTGCGCGAACTTTACTTTGCCTTTGCTTTGCTTTGCCACCCCATCATAGTACGCGTCGACTAACACAAATTTCCACATGTGGGTCACCCTCTGGCTCTGCGCAAGAAGAGTAGTGGAGATTGGTTTGTGATCGTGTACTTTACTACTTTTGAAAGGTAATTTCAATTGTAAGAGGAAACTTACCATGCAGAGCATTGGAGGGAAACTTCCAGCTGCCTAAGTGCACTTTTGGTGGCTAAAAACATGGCTTTTTAAGATTATTTTGTTTCCTGTCAATTTCTTTCCCGAAGTGTTTTGACTTTTGTAAATTCGATCTCGCGCGCGCCCTGACAAAATATGAACTCAAGAGGTCGTTCATTTGTTGACTACACATGAAAGGTTGACTACACATGAAAGGTTGACTACACATGAAAGGTTGACTCTTTCTGCAAAAAATGATGTTGTCGTTGTTAATGATGATTAATATGATGATGATGATGAAGATGACTTTCCCCATTTCAAACGATCCAATACGTTTGATAATCTTTATTAATTCTGAACACATAGCAAGTATCATTATCTAAATGAAAATAAAAAAATACCCTCTGGACCTCTGCCCATTGGTTAACTACTCCATTACTCGATCCATACAGGCGAGATGGAGCGCTTGAAAAATGGGCAGAGGCCAGAGGGTATTTTTTTGACAACACGTCATTGAGATAAGATCTCATATTTTCTGGCCAGCATTAATATTAAGTTTACCAAATGAATTGGATAAGTAGACATGGGGGAAGGATGCGCTTGTTAAAATCTCATTTACGCTCGTGTGTTACTGTTAAATAAATGAGAAAATAGATTCATGAAAAGCTACAAGAATTTTCAGAATATCATTTTTTTTTTACGGTGGTGAAGGAAAAAAGAATAATTAAGAACAATAGTTTTCAGAATAGCGCCCCAAAATGTCATATTTCAAAGGATCATAAGTTATGTAGATAGGCCCTATGCAGTGATTATGGATTTGGCCCATACCCGTTGCATGATCAGCCAAACTGGAGTTTTGCGATCTTTGATGGCATATAAATTATGTCAGCTTAATTATGAAGAAGGTCAGGAGCGGATCCAGCCGGCGACGAGGGAGGGGGTCCAATTCGTGAGAAGATATTTAGTGGCGCATAAGCGGAGGGGGGGGGGGGGGTAGTGTGAGCACTAAAATAATGTTTGTATTTGTATTTGCTCAACAGGGGGGGGGGGGGGTAGAGAGCACTATTTATTTTTTAATCAACAGTGAGCACCGTTTTGTTTTACTCAACCCCCCCCCCCTCCTAGAGCACAAAATAAAAAAGGTAAACTAAGGCATTATTAGATAAGTCTGCAAGCAAACTCTAATTTGACACTTTACCACAGTTATCAAAGCCTTGAGGGCCTAGTCAGTTTCTGGTACGTACAACGATTGACAAGGGTATGTGCCTGCAAACAATCATTAGATAGAATATTATTTGCTCTTTACTGTGAAACTAATAATTGGTAAGTTCACGGCAAAGGCTTTTTTATGAAGCCTGAACAAAGAATCTTTAACATACTTTTATATATATATATATTTTAAACATGATATGTATGCAGCCATCAGCAGAACAATGTACTATTGCGTTTACTAGAGTCAGAGAGATCGTTTGGTATTGTCATAGCCTAAAAGGCAAAATAGCATCCACCATATTTCTCCTTCATCAAAAAACATGAACAGTTATATTTTTATCATTATTATTATTTTTAAACACATTTAGACATAATTTTGTGCGAGGGCCTAGCTGTAACGAACTTATGCTGCACATTTAAGCCTACCATACACGATGGCATTGTGTATAGTTCAAATCGAGAGAAATGAACGTGAACGCGATACAAAAACACTTATGCGTGCTTATCAGAGCGTTTCTAAATTATATGACGTCATCCATTCATGCCTAACAACAAATATGAACTCAGGGCAAGTAATAGGTTTGCAAGCACCAAACGGTGGTGCTAATAAGAATATATAACGGCGTTATCGTGTGCGTATCCGTTGGAAAGATGCAATATTATTAAGCGACCAGAACCAAATTGCCTTTGTCTATTACGTTACCATGGAAGCTGCGATATGAACCACATTAATTATTGTTGAAGGCATATTCGCAGCAAAATTACAGTGATCGTCTCATCACGTTCATTCAAGTTTACGAAAACCATCCTAGGTATAAACATATTGTGCAGATCTGTCTATTATATAGCCATGATGATCTTTTGTGATTACCCATACTAATGCACACGAATGATTTTATGCCATTCAACACGAGGTTTTGTGATATGACCCTTGGACAGCCTTCCTTTGATCAGGCAGCCAATGTGTGTTTAGTTCTCCATCCGAAATATCGTTGAAACTCTCATTGATGTTGGGACAAGGCATATTGTGCTTTCAGCCTTCATGATCGTGTGGGCCCAACCGAACAGCTGATAGGTCTGTTTCTCCTATGTTCGTTTCAGTGCCAGTGGAAAGTGATCATGGATACAACAAAAAGAATGCGAATCGTTTTAGCAAATACCCCAAATAAGGTAGGTAAAATGTTATTGTTTTATTAACTCTTTCAATGTGAGGGCAATAGATTCTAAATAATATTACCACGTTTAATCGTGTGTCTGCTTAATTATCTGAAATTATTTACAGAACTCCCCAACGTCCTTGCCCATTAATTTTCATTCCTGCTCAACAATTGGATAATTATAATCATGATAACAGAGGAATACTAAATGATCGCATCGCTGCATACCGGCGCGCCGGTCCCGGTGAGATCATTGAAATACATTCAGAGAAAATATTTTGAGCGAATATGCTGAGGATCGTGCATTGAAATAGCTTACTCAACGACTCGTATAACATGTCTACGAGGGAAACTGCAGGTTAAATAATTAGTGACAATCCGAAAAATGTATTTCCCCATGCATATATCATCGTTTTTTGCTGCAAAGTTTTAAATTTGCTACCTACTATTGCTTCAAAAACTAATGATGTTGACCAGTTCAAGTACCTTCCGAAGTCCAATTTTAATTTGCTCGAGAAGAACACTGGCCTTTTTGAAGTGATATTTGATTTTTGAAGTGGGCCAAACATGTGGATCTATATGTGCAGCACATTGTAACTGCATATGAAAGGCACTTCATCAAAAAGATGTCGGTTTAAAAAGACATATAAATATACATGATTCAAAGGTCCAAGGACCAAAACTGATCATGTTTACAAGTAATACAATAAAGTTATATATACAGTAAATATACTATAGGGAGCCAAACGAACAGGTATGACAAGTACAAGGTGGTAATGAAGATGAAACTTTCCATTCATGCATGTTATATGCATATTTAATTTTTGTCATTTTTTGCCATTTAATTCCTGTAGTTTTTTGCCTGTTTATATTACCATATTTTGCTGTCGCTGTACGTAATCATAATCTTCAGCATGCTATGTCAATCGTTCCAAACATCTTGCTTCATAAATTGTTTTATTCATTGTGATTTGAAAAATGTACTATGTACAAAATGTTCATGTTGTTACTGATAATTATTGTATGAGGAGTGCAGAAATCAATAAATCAATTCAACATCAAATCATTTTATATGGTCAAACCATTGAAAAAACAAATTGACTTCCTTTTTGTCCCAGGATATAATATTTTTTCTCAATCTGTTTATGTTTTAGCAATCTGGTAGAAAATTCTTTTTCAATTGTATAATCAGCGTCATGATAGCGCTCGAACTGTCGTCTTACTGTAAAGGTACGTATAAACTAAAAACGGTTAAATGAAGAGAATTGCATAATGATGATGATAATGATGATTATAATGATGACGAGAATGATGATGATGATGATGATGATGATGATGATGATGATGATGACAATAATGACGTTGATGATGGTGGTGGTGATGATGATGATGATACTGATGAATTGATGATGATGTGAAAATCATATTAATCCAAGTGAGCTTGGGGATGTTTGTATACAAAATAAACGTTGTAGCAGTCTGGTAGAACATCCTTTTTGAATTGAATAATCAGTCATGATAGCAGTAGAACTGTCGTCTCACTGTAAAGGTACGTAACAAAAAACGTTTAGATGACGAGGACGACTACGATGATGATGATGATGGTGACGATGATCATAATTATATGACGTTGATGATGGTGGTAGTGATGATGATGATGATGGTAATGATGACGATGATGATAGTTATATGACGTTGATGATGGTGGTGGTGGTGATGATGATGATGATGATGATGATGATGATGATAATGATGATGATGATGATGATGATGGTGATGATGGTGATGATGATGATGATGATGGTGATGTTGATGATGATGCTGATGATGAAGATAATGATGATGGTGATGATGATGATGATGATGATGTGATTGAGGATATGACTGTGTTTCTGTTATGCTCTTCATTTCACAGCTCAGTGCTCAAATCCCGGGGAAACATTGGAGTTTAATTCAAGACCTCAACTACTGAAATCGACAATCTACCCGTGCTCGTGGAAGATTGCTGTTCCAGATGCAGAACGCACGTGGCTTATTCAAGTCCGAGTGGTGCATGTTGATTTAGAATGTTGTTGCGACAGTGACTATTTATTTATAAAAGACGGTAACCAGTCTCTCTCTCTATATTTATATCATTACGTTTCAAAGAGGAATTAGATTGTAAGAATGATTTAATGCATGTCTGGACCATTAAAATGTGGTAATACCACATGTTGAAGTGAAAATCGTAATGCATTTTTGTAATAAATAGTGGAACAATATTTGTAAAAGATTAAATGATAATAAAGTCCTATAGCTTGGAAAGATCATGTTTACAATCGTAAAATATAATGATCATTTGAACAATTACACAGTCTCAGATACTAATCTAAATGGGGGGGGGGGGGCAGAGAGCTAGGTACGTGTCCAATGCGCTACCTGAAGGGGACAAAGATTAAATACTGCTATAAGAATAGGAAGGAAATGATGAAAATTAATTATCCTTCAGGTTAAAGCATACAATAAATGGTGTTTCAAAAGGCTTTAGATGCGAAATATTTGTAATAATAATCAAGAAATCACACACAGCTGACAACTATACAGTGCGTCCAAGAAAAAACGAAACCAAAAATTATCGATGATTTATCATTTCTTAATCACAATTATAATTAATAAATGACAAGTATTTGTAAAGCTTAGATCCTCCTCTTTCATTTGATGCAACTCATATGATGCACATTTTACGCATGAGTGATTAAAAACAATTTGAAAAGAGGAAACCAAAAAGTTATTTGGCGGGCGGTATCTGAATTTCAAGGAGAAAATCACATTTCTAGAAAGTTCAATTCCTGCCCTTTCATATGACACCTCAATCAGGAAAATCGAGCCAGGAATAACAAAGTTCTGTTTGTTTAAAGTAGTACTTGCATTTCCATAATAAACGAGTTCGTTTTCACTGGCTGCCTGGCGTAGCAACAAACAGAGTTGACAAAAGACTTAACTCCGTTTCGTTGACGATCAGCCATGAACACAGATTCTCGGTTTCGTTTTTTTCTGGGACGCACTGTATAGAGGTTTTACACGTGTCTGGTACAAGTTGATATCGTTAGCATTTGTTCACCTCTCGTTTGTTTGATATGAGAAGAATATATAACTTCACAGCAGAGTATTGATACTAATAACTTGCTTACTTACTACTTATCAAATAGCTAAGATTAAAGAATTTTGAAGATTTTTTTTTTGGGGGGTTAACCAAAAGTGTACTTGGTCTTGAAATTAGGAACATAAATAATTAAAAAACACCTTGACTTCTCTCTCTCTCTCCCTACCATCTCTCCCCATCCCTATCTTGTTTTCTACTCTAGGTTCCGATTCCGCTGCCAGATCTATTGTTGCATTATGCAGTGGCGAAGAACCAAACCCGACTACAATAACTAGCAGTGGACCCAGTCTCTATGTGGAGTTCATCAATGATGGAGACATGACTGGATCGGGATACTCTTTGCAGTTCGTCTACTTTGGTATGCGATTTGGATATAACTCGCCTACTTTTTTTTTTAAAGAACACAATATCATGGGGGAGAAGCATTGAGGATCGATTAATCACATCGTAATGACGTCATACAAATGCTGTTCATCATCATCATCATCATGTAGTTAAAATTGTAGAAGAACGTTTGAACATCTGAAAATTTCTGAGGGGGACCCTAGCTTGTAAAGTCTTTGAATGAAACCAACCAATATTATTATCATTTATGATGATGATGATGATGATAATGATGGTGATCTTGATCATTATTATTATCAGTAGCAGGAGTAGTTTTTAGTTCCTTCTTTCTAAACAGATTCAAAAGTGTCCTGTCCCGGCGGTTGGGTTAGCAGACGTGGTTTCTGCTACAAACTCTACCACGAACCAGTACCATGGCAACAAGCAGCATCACGATGTGGGTATGATGGAGGGTTCCTGACATCCATAGTTGATCAAGAAGAGAATGACTTTCTTCTAGGTGAGATAATATTAAACTGTTCTGCTGGTATAGCACGAATGATGTATTACCAGTAAGTTAGCAGCCAGTAATAATCACGGGGTATTAGTAGTAGTAGTAGTAGTAGTTGTAATTGTAGCAGTAGTAGTAGTAGCAGCAGTAGTAGTAGCAGCAGCAGTAGTAGTAGTAGTAGTAGTAGTAGTAGTAGTAGTAGTAGTAGTAGTTGTAGTAGTGGCAGTAGTAGTAGTAGTAGTAGTAGTAGTAGTTGTAGTTGTAGTTGTAGTAGTAGCAGCAGTAGTAGTAGTAGTAGTAGTAGTAGTAGTAGTAGTAGTAGTATAGTAGCAGTAGTAGTAGTAGTAGTAGTAGCAGTAGTAGTAGTAGCAGCAGCAGCAGCAGCAGTAGTAGTAGTAGTAGTAGTAGTAGTAGTAGTAGTAGTAGTAGTAGTAGTAGTAGTAGTTGTAGTAGTAGTAGAAGGAGGAGGAGGTGGAGGTTGAGGAGGAGGTGGAGGGGAGGAGGAGGAGGAGGTGGAGGAGAAGGAGGTGGAGGTTGAGGAGGAGGAGGAGTTGGAGGGGGGGGGAGGAGGAGGTGGTGGTGGTGGAGGAGGAGGAGGAGTAGGGGAGGAGAAGGAAAAACAGGAGCATACAATACCCGACAAAATTTAATACACTCTTTAAGAGAGAAATATAAATACCCTATACTAGCAATGTACATGTATCTCTGGTGTTACTGAGCTGTTTTAATGGAGGTGTGGATGTGGATGAGACGTGTCTAGTTCATTGCTAAAGCCGGGGTAATTATAATTGAGCACCAGGAGAGGCAATATGCCAAACATCAGTCCACTATTATTATAATTATTATTATTGTTTATCTTTTGTTCAGAATCTTTTGGAAATGAGACATCTTTAGCATGGATAGGAATGAACTCCAGCAGGCGTTGGCTTGATGGTTCCAGTTCTCTTCATTACAACAAGTAAGTTGTGGTTTATAGGTTTAAACAGTAGCGGTTTAAGTAGTAGTAGTAGTAGTAGTAGTAGTAGTAGTAGTAGTAGTAGTAGTAGTATCAAGGTAATATTATTAAGATTATTATTATCTTTGTTATCTTTATTAGTAGTAGTATAATTTATTGGATAATTTGTTTAGCACAGGGCTAATCTGGCACAAGGTCCATTTTATCATTATCATGATCTTTATTTTGTTTATCATCATTATTATTATTATTATACTTGTATAGTTTCAGATACCCGACGATAAATGATTTACGATGTTACACTCTTGAACTGGATAAAAACGGATCATGGTCTGATTCAAATTGTGAACAAGAACAGAACAACTTTATATGCAAGAAAACTCAAGGTTAGTATTACATTTGGTCAAAATCATTATTATTTTTATATTATTACTATTTCCTGTGGGCATCTGTAGAGTGAACCGCAACCATTGACGTTCAGATATATGTATCTTGATAAATTATCGTTGTCGTTCAGAATAAGAAATACAAAACATCATAACCAACACAAAGTATCCTATAAGGAAAAGGTAAGGAAAACGAAGTATCATAATCTCCTACTCGAATTGGTTGCAAAGTAGCATCTATAAGGAGAACGAATTAATTTATTTTTAACGACATCGGCCATAAAAAGAAGGAAAAAATCCCATTAAGATAATTTACATCATTATAACCCACCTTTCCATTACTCCCTATCTTCATCTGTTCCCTCTTCTCTCTCTTTCTCTCACTCCTCTCTGTCTCTATCTCATTCCTCTATGTCTCTCTCTCTCTCTCTGCCTCTATCGCTCTCCTTTCTCTGTCCCCTTTTCACCTCTCTTTCTCTCTCTCCTCTTTCTCTCTACCTCTCTCACTCCAGTTTGGCCGCTTTCACCTCATCTCTACCTCAATGCCTGATGCTCCGACATATTATGCTCAGGCAACAAAATGCACACGGATTTATCTTATCAAATAAACAGGGATAGTGTTAGGGTTAATTATAGTGTTTGGTTCGGGGATGAAATTGAGAATTTATTGTGTCAGATCATGCGTCGACCCTCTGTTTAGGTTTATTTTGCTACAAATCCATGTATTCTGTTTTCAATTAACTCTTAGATGGATCTGGAGGGAGATACTGGACTAAGCTTTCCCAGTATGACTCCTCGAGTAAGAGCAATGTAAAGAAAATTATCATATGGACGATCATGGCAGTCATACTCTTTTTGATAGCTTGCTTCCAAGGCAAGCGGGAAAACCGGCTATACACGATTATGAAGGACTGCATGAAGAGCTTTATAAACTCCTGTGTAGGCTGCATACGCGTATCGTTGAAACCATGCTCAATATGTATTGAAACTATCCGCAAATGGTACCAGAGGCGGACGACGCGAACATCCTCTCCCTGCTCTAGCCAACCTACTACTCCTGAACCAACCAATCGAGCTCCCCTAGCCCAGATCATATTTCGAAGAGATTCAACGTCATCAGAAACGGACGATTATCCGCGCAGAGAGTTCGGGACAACGCATTCGCCGTCAACCTATAGAGATGACGATGACGGGGTTTCGGAGGCTCCTCCCCCATCCTACATTCATGCAGTGGACGATCATCCGCGCAGAGAGTTCGGGACAACGCAGTCGCCGTCGATCTATAGCGATGGTGATGACGTGAATACGGAGGCTGCACCCCCATCCTACATTCGTGCATTGGCGCCTACGTTTGACATTTCATACAATGACCCTAGAGGTTCAGGAACATCGATTAATGCTAGAGAATCAATAGCGGCACCCTCATACGAGTTTGCAGTTGCAGGATTTCAAACTACTGTTTGAACATTCATATTACGCAACATTGTTTTAAAGAGAGCAAAACGATTTATCGTCTATTCTACTTGGCACAAATTTATAATTGTATTTATTATTTTATTTATTTCGTTTTATTTCAACGGGGTAGCCCATCAGTAGTTCAGTAAATGTAAACTCAGCAAGTAAAAACAAATCAAGAAAATCTAACATAAACAAATTTTGAAAATAATTCCTTTTATCGTAGTAACAGTGTGTCGAAACATAAGTATAC